TTTCTTACATTTATTGGCCTCATAATCATATACTATTATAGATTAATCATCTTAATGATGAGATTAGATTTTTATGGCACACCTAAATTTTTATAGGTTAGATATATGTTATTGAAAGGTGCACAAAGAGTGTTTGAACGGCTTAATTTTAAGGCATGTTTCTATCCGGTTTATATGCAGTGGGTATTTTCTTATTATAGTGGAATAGAATACAGAATAGGACTGGCCTCTGAGGAGGTAGGGGATCCGACGTTGCCACTTCGTTCTTGGCTGGTGAGCTGACTTTCACCTAGAGCCGGGGAGCGGGCGCGGGCATCCCTCTGACTCTGTCTTCCCACTTGTAGGGTAGTTTAACACTACAAATTATTAACTTTTTGGCGGTATCGGTTAGTGTTGTCATGTTTATATCACATGGAAGATACATTCATCCCTTACATGATAATGGGTAGATTATTTGCACAATAAACGACTTAAACCGCTACTAGATTTAGCTTTTGAAAAGTATATTAACATACAATTAATAAATATAAAATGAAAATACATTTTATATAGGGTCACCTTTACAAGTCTCTGGAAATATGTTGTCTATAGTCAAACGTTTGTCAACCCCAATTTTTAAACAAATCACCGTAACAATAAGAGCAAATGAATACATATGGTCCACAAACTTTTATATCAGTTCTAAAAATCTTGTAAATTGTTGCCCTGCTTATAGTTTGATACATAAAACAAATTAACATGGAAATGAAGAAGGTAAAATCTTCCATATTAAACATATACAGCAATAGTTTGGTTGTGTTTAGGAAACTAAGTTGGTCAATGTTTAGGAATTACCCCAAAGCTGCATTTCTTTGTTTGAACACCTATTGTGACCCTCACTCCATTAATCTTATTATTACCACTCGACTGAAATGAAACTTACGGATAACAGGTAGCTCAATAGTGACGAATACATTTCTGTAATATTGTGATTATTAATAAAAGTCCGTTAGTTTTATATTGAATTTAAGAAAATTGAACTAACGTTTACATACATTACGTTATGTGTTGCATTCATTAAAATAGTCATACGATATATTCACTCTTCTATAACAAAAAAAAAAAAAAACTTCTAATGTAGGTACTCTAGAAATCCTCAAAAAACATACCAGGTAAAAAGGGAAATAGATAACATAACTGCCATTTTATTGCCAAAATGACATAACTATTTTTATTAGAAAATATTATTACATTGCACTGGAAATTGTTAAATAAAAATATTTACAAACAAAAATATTGACGTATGAAACTTATATAAATATTTTAAGGGACAATGACATTTTTATATAGGTTTTTCAAGATATTTGCATTACGCAAAGGAACACGACGTTACGATATCGCAAACGTTTCACGTGTACTCGTGGTCGTCCACGTCGCGTACCGTTGTCCGTATTCATTGGGCGAAACACAGTTCTTAGACGAATTCTTGACAAAACAGGAGGGTATACTAGAAACGCACAGGTCGGCTATCGGGCAGAAACTGAGTGTGTGGCACAACTTGGCAACAGTGGACAGTTTTCTAAAAGCTGATTGGTTGCCGCATGCCCCCCCCGACTCGAACTGGTTTCGGTCCTATTCTGTATTCTATTCCACTATAACTACTGTATTAATTTTTTTCTATCCGTCTTTAATACTGAGGTATTTCAACTATCCGAGTATGACGGATCCGGTAAGCCTGTACTAATTGTTATAAGTTTATATTATAATAATAATTTAGTTTTAACAGTTGGTAGTCCTGAGTAGTGGAGAAATGGAGATGTCTCTCTGCGTAGATATGATCCTTGGATCTTTCTTCTGAAATTTTACTCTAAATATTTTTATCTTTAACATCAATTTTGTAATAACATGTGTGAACTCAAAGTATATTATTAAGTATTAACATTGAATTGGTGTTTTATTTAATCCAAAGAGGTTTAGGCAAATACAATACTTTCTAACATAGGCCTAGGCTAGGAGATTCAGTGGACATCATCACACTCAAACATAACCAACATAAAAAACACGCCACCATAACATATGCATCAGATTTTACAACAGGACAAAAAATCTACTTGCACTCAAAGTCAATGATTTCATTTTGCACATTCAAGCATAACCGGGGATAACAAACTATGCCATAACTAGCTTTGAGTTTTACGAAAGAAAGGCTAGTCTAGCATGAATGCAGTAACTCATTCTTAAGTCAATATCTACTGAAAAAGTGTAACGCAGATAAAAGATTTTTTGGTTGTAAATAATATTTCAAAATAACACAGTTAATGATAACTTATCTTAACCAAACTTTCAATGGTTTTAAAATTATATTTTTGTCACAGAATAGTAACATACGTACAGAGGATACAAGCTAATGAAGAGCGAAAGGGTACGAATAAAATTTTCTCTTAACACCAGCAACTAATGCTAGACACAAGCAAATGGTGCTAGACACCAGCAACTGATGCTAGACACCAGCCACTAATGCTAGACACAAGCAAATGGTGATAGACACCAGCAACTCATGCTAGACACTAGCAACTGGTGCTAGACACCACTTAAGCGTACCAATGCATGTATCCTCTCCTTCTTCTCAATTTTGTAAAAAGTGTTTATTTATTTTTTTATATATATATTGGTGATTGGGAGGATTTGACCCCCGTGACCTTTGGGCTTTGAAGCCCTGAGTTCTACCACTAGTCCAGCTCGCTCCCAGTAAAATGAAAGTCTGACAGTAGAGGCTTCATACTTAGTACAGGATACCTAACAAAAAATATAGTCCATTAAATGGCCTACAAGGGGCTTTCATCTACATCCCCTTCACTAGTAGCAAGTTACTGCTCCAAAGTTACGTATGAGAATGAATAAAGATAGTCAAGATAAATTACAGGCGATGCTTATCAAAATTCTTTTCCTACAGTTACCTAAGAATGTACATGTTCTCTCACTGATTTGAGAAAGCAAAGTGGCCAATTCGCTCATCAGTGAGACAATGTTAAAACATTGTCTCCCTCCAGATTTGCTACGTGAACACATGAAATAGTGATCGCGTAACATGCAGACAAGGTTGTATGCGCGCAAAATCGGTTGGCAGCACTGGCTGTAAATCAGCTGGTCAGCTGTTGTATTGTTGTATTTGTAACTTCACATTAAATGACAAATGTTAAATTAAAAGTCACTTCTGTGTAAAAATATGTTACGTTTCTTTACCAATTTATTTGTTTTATGATAACTGTAGGAAAAATATAATGTGCAACTCGAGTGCAAAGTACAATTGCCTTACTCGAGAAACCATTCCTCACTCGCCTACGGCTCGTAAGTAAGGATTTCTCTCGAGTGATGAAAAATAGCCTACTGTGCCTGAAAAAGATAAGATAATGTATTCAATAAATTACTTATAATAGAACATAACTATTTAATTACAATTAGATTTTTTAGCCTGGATTTTGAGATAAATATCACAGACATTCAAACAAACATACTTAGTTCGTAATCGTATGTATATAGAATTGAAAATTACAAAGGCACAAACATATTTTAGAACTATTTTTAAGTTTACACAGGTTACAGTTTAAGTTGTAGCAATTCTTTCACATTTTATTATTAGCCTATTATTATTATTATTTTATGGCCAGCATTGGACCACTTAAGTCAATATAATGGTTATATTCTTTTTAAATTCTGTCTCTTCTTGTCCGCCCAATACTTCTTCATTCTTTCCGACCGTTATTTTCTTTCTTCTGCCGAAACCACTCTTCCTTGTCTCTGATTGTTTGCTCCTATTGGCAGGATGATATTTTTGTCTTTGAGTACTGCAAGCTCCTCTGACTTATTTTCCAAATCTTCTAATGATATTTTCAACCTTCTCATGTCCTCCTTAATCTCTGTAATACACCTAAAGTCAATCTTGCTATTCCACAACTTGTCAATTATTTTCTTGCTTATTCTTTCACATTTTAATACCACAAATAAACATAAAAAAATTAATTAAATTAATTAGTTAAGAAAGCTTTTACATTTTAAAATATAACATTTGAATTGCTCTTGAAAAAGCAACTGTATTCCTTTTTTTGAAAACAACAATCTGTTCAGCAGCATGCAGCAATCAGTTTGGCTTTTGTAGTGGTATGTCTACCACCAACGCTGTTGATGGTTTAGTTAGACAGTTACATAAGGTATTGGAGAATAACCAGGATGTTTTACTTAAGAAATCAGAATTTTATGGTTTAGAGGGTAAGGAGCTGTCAATATTCAGATCTTATTTTAGTAACCGCAGACAAGTTGTTGATGTAAATGGTAATCTCTCAAAAGTTTTGACTACTTCTTATGGCATCCCCCAAGGATCTGTTTTAGGGCCAATTTTATTTATTACTAGCTGTGTGCCCGTTCTATGGAGAGGGATCTTGTAGTCAGTTGAAACCTTCTTATATTCAGAACAGCAGTTGGTTAACATTTAAGTGTGCATTTTTTCGCTGGAAAAACTATTATAGGGACATATAAACCCTCAAAAATACAATATCTGACCGATTCAAGCCAAAACAAATGCTAGACTCACAAAAACCAAGAATTGCCATTAAATATTAAATATTCTTTCTATGTGTTCTATGTAAATGTTCTACATGTAATAAATGTTGTCCTAAGGATTGTACATAGCCTATAGGTATTCCCGCCTTATTAATGTAATTTCTTGTGACAATGTCCATTGTGAATTTGTAATTTGCTGAACGGCTGAATAAATGCCTTATTAGATCCTGGTTCCAAGCCATATTGGGTAAGTCTTTTCAGCTTGCTTACTTTAAGACTTGTCTGTACAATTTTCAGCCTTAAATACAACTGTGTATTGTACAAAAATATTGAATACCTAATGTAATATTGTAATGTGTAATGTTTTGAAATCATAGTATAACCTAAATGAATAAACAAATAGAACTAAAAATGTATACAAGAGTGTATATATATATGTTTTAATAAAATATTGTCTTTTACAGGAGAGACAATAGATTTGAAAAGGAAAAAGAAACTTCAATTCATGTGGCAAGATCAAGAAAGATTATTTAGATAATCACTGATTGTAAAGCTAAAAAAGCTTAAAAGCTAACAAGATTAAGTTTTTACTACCTAAACTAAAGGGCTAATTAAGTAAGTAATTCACTATGTAAAACTTAAATTTTACATATAACTTTTATATGGCTGATGCAATTTAGTTCACAACATGAAACATCTAAGCCATTTTTTTAAGTAGGCTAATTTATGATTAAACAGTGAAAAAAGCAAAATGCCTCGAATCAACTATGTTGCAATTTATCACACACAAAAATATTTAAGCAAGAGATGTTTAAAGTTAATTGATGTACACATATATAACTGTTAAACACTTACACATACATACATGACTAGTTACTATTAGTTACTAGCAAGTCAAAAATTGAAAAAAAACATGTTTAAGATCACTAAAAAGCCTCCCCTTGAGTGTCCAATATGTAGAAATTTTTTTTCTAAAATGAAGTGTCATATATATTTACACACGGGGGAGCGTCCCTTTAGATGTTTGATGTGTGGGAAAACATTTATTAAACTACACAATGTAAAGTATCATTTGTTGACACATTCTGCTAAGTGTCCTTATAAGTGCAATACATGTGGAAAATCATTCAGATCCAAGGACCATATGAAGGTTCATACATTAGATCACACAGGAGAGCGACCTCATAAGTGTAGTATATGTGGAAAATCCTTCAAAACTAGGAACCATATGAAAATTCATACAGTGGTTCACACGGAAGAGCGACCTCATAAGTGTACTATATGTGGAAAATCCTTCAAAACCAGGAGGATTATGAAGATGCATACATTGATTCACGCCGGAGAGCGACCTCATAAGTGTGCTATATGTGGAAAATCCTTTACAACCACTACTCAAATAAGGAATCATATGTTGGTTCACACTGGAGAGCGACCACATAAGTGTACTATATGTGGAAAATCATTCACAACTAGGAACAATATGAAAATTCATACGTTGGTTCACACGGAAGAGCGACCTTATAAGTGTACTATATGTGGAAAATCCTTCAAAACTAGGAACCATATGAAAATTCATACAGTGATTCACGCCAGAGAGCGACCTCATAAGTGTGCTATATGTGGAAAATCCTTTACAACCATTACTCAAATAAGGAATCATATGTTGGTTCACACTGGAGAGCGACCACATAAGTGTACTATATGTGGAAAATCATTCACAACTAGGAACAATATGAAAATTCATACGGTGGTTCACACGGAAGAGCGACCTTATAAGTGTACTATATGTGGAAAATCCTTCAAAACTAGGAACAATATGAAAACTCATACAGTGGTTCACATGGAAGAGCGACCTCATAAGTGTAGTATATGTGGAAAATCCTTAAAAACCATGAGCGGTATGAAGATTCATATTGGATCACACAGGAGAGCGACCTCATAAATGTGCTATATGTTGAAAATCCTTTACAACCATTAATGTAATAAGGAATCATATGTTGGTTCACACAGGAGGGCAACCTCATAAGTGTACTATATGTGGAAAACTCTTCTCAACTAAAACCGTAATGAAGCGACATTCATTGATTCACACTGGAGAGCGACCATAAGCGTACTATTTTGTGGAAAATCCCTTAAAACCGAGGACAATATGAAGTCTCATACATTAAAATGTCACGTCAATTGTCATTTTTGTTATTTCTTAGTTTTAGTATTATCCTGTATATGACTTTATGTCCTTTCAAATGATGTAATGACATGTAATGAATAGATAAATAAAAAATAAATAAACAAAACACACAGGAGAGCGACCCTATAAGTGCACTATATATTGAAAATTGTTGCAAATTAGAAGCATTATGAAGAAACATACATTAATACCCTATGGATAGCGACCTTAAGTATAAACTATGTAGGAAATCCTATAAAATTAACAAAAATATGAAGCAACATACACCAGAGAGTGACCTCAGTGGAAAATCCTTCTCTGCCTACTGGAAAATAAAGAAACATACATTATTAGTTCACACCAGAGAGAAACCTTATAAGTGTTACTATGTGCAGAAGGCACTTTGCATGCCAAAGCTATATAAACAAACATTCTTTGGTTCATATTAGAGTGATCCAAAAGTGGAGTGCATTCGGAAAATTCTTCTAAACCAACATCCCATATACGGAAAACCGTTGGGTGCAATATATTTAATTAATCACGAATCATTGCTCAGCATGGTGTTTTTCAAAAATTGTTACATGGATCATTGTAAAACAAGACAATACCATGCATATTAATGTTGCAGATCCTACTGACAGGATTTTTTTCAATTGGCACAAGACCACTTTCTTGATTGTTTAAGTTTTAAAAATGCTAATTAAACTTAAAGAATTTATTAAATTTAGTTGATAAAAGGTGCAGGAAAATCATAGCAATTGTATGTTTTAACAGACTAAGAATACAAATTCCATGTTGTTATAAAGGATGACTGATAATAAACCGGACGTTTTTAAAATAAACATAACTCATTAAATTTTGTGTCAATTATAACACTTATGTTAGTAAACTTTTGCCATTTAAGAAAACTATTTACTAAACATAGTATGCTACACTTTTCAGATATCCTTTACTTTTTTTAGAAAATATCAAATGTGGAGTCCATTTTTATTCATGCTAAACTGTTCTATTAGACGTCTAGGCATTTTTACAGCCACCAAAAATTGTTCCGCAACTTCCTGTTTAATGGTGTCCTTTAAGATCCATTAGCGTTTTGGGTTCATTAAGTGGAACACCTTGATGAAAAATTCATACACACACAAATCTCGTGACGTTGAGGCAACAGAATACTATCACGGAAACGTAAAATAACCCTTCCTAGGAACCTATTACACACTTCGGCTATTGAAACTTGAGTGAGTAGTATCAATGGTCAATGGTAGCATGTACGGTGGATCTTGTCTATAATAAACAAATGTATTTATTGTATGTATTTTTTTATCAAATGTCTCACCTGTGGCCTAAAGAAGTACTTGAGCACATTAACACTTACGTATTTAAAGCCTGCCAAGGCTTTTCAAAATGTAAAATGTCATAATAGTTATTTTTCAGCCATACAGCTTCTTTTAGCCAATTTCTCTATAGGGAAGTAGCTATTACCGTAGGTAGCACGGTAAGACCTAGACCCGGGACCGATGTACTTTTAGTTTCTCCCCCTATACAACTTTTTTGGGTTCAGGGTTCAGTGAAACCCAAAACGGATATATTCTCTCAAACCTCAATCTCGACAATTTTGACTAAAACAATACTTTTTCCATATAGTCTCCTATGGTATAGGGGCAGAAAGCAAAAAAAGTTCCTGCACTTTTGTGATAGGCATGGCATTTCACACGTGTTCATAATAGGCAAACGTAAGGTGTTTACTGTCCAATACTATATGGCTAATAAAACGGCATAATATGTACAGAATTGAATGACACACCTCCTTAGTGACAATAACTATCACACGCAGAGTATTCGCTTAAAAAACATCCAATTTGTCAGTCACCCTATACAAGGCTTGGTTGTATCTAGGATCTAGGAGGACTGTTTATTTATTTTGATAAATTGAAATTACATAGTTTTTTACATACATATGACAACTGACAACTTAAATACAAGGGTTCGTTTGTAATCACAACCCAAATAGTTACAACTATCATGAGACACTTTTTAACAACAAAACCTGGTCATGTGGGTCTTCTTAACTTCATTGCTGATCATCTAATACGCATCGTTCACTTTATCTATAAGGTTTAGTGTTATTGATCATTTATTGTAAACTAGCAGTTACGACACACTTTATTAGTTTCCTTGTAGCAGCCTACCTAGGTACTCGTTAATGTTATTTGAATAGAAAATCAATTCAGCCAAATTGAAATTCACTTAGACGGCTGTTTTACTGTGGTGGGGGTATTATAGATACAGATAAGATGTACAGTAGGCCTATTATAGTTTTTTTTCACATACTCAAGAAAACACCCAGTTGAGACTTATTCACAATGAATTCCCAACAACACTAAAATTCATAGATAACCATGCAACAATGCGTATCAGAAGATGGGCAATAAAATATATAGAAACAGGTATACCAAAATGTGAGTTTTTTTAGTCGTTAAACAGTGTCTTATGGTCCTTGTAATTTGGGTTGTGTTTAAAGGAAAACGCCCTGCATGTAAATGACCTGACCTGTCAGGGGTTCAGGGTACTTTCCACAGCTATTTTCTTATTATTGTGTATTGCCTTGATCCAGAAAACCCATTAATGTTAAAATGTAGCCTAGTCACTTTTTCTATTTTATTTACATTTTCATAAATATTTTATTTTATCGTGCTAATTTGTCCCTACTCTTAGTACCAAGACTGGCTTTTACAGAATTTCAGTAAAACTCTTTATCTGTACAGGTTATAAAAACGTATGTAGTGTTGATTTATCAAATGTCTGTACTGTACTATATTTCCAATGAAAACTAGGGGCTTGTTCCCTTGTAGGGATATAAGTCCCTAAAAAGCTCAAATTTAATACAAATTATTGTAATATAAACTCATAATCAAATTATATCTAACTAGCTGTAACCCACGGGCTTTGCCCCGTTTAACTTCTTAATTTTCAAGATTATCTCGTTCGCATGGCTCAATCACGTCCTTGTTGAAGTTTGTTCGCTACGCTCACTCACCTTTAGGTTGGAGCTCGTTCGCTACGCTCACTCACCTTTAGGTTGGAGCTCGTTCGCTGCGCTCACTTGCCTTCAGTTTAGCTCGTTCGCTTCGCTAACTCGCCTCCAGGTTGAAGTTCGTTCGCTACGCTCACTCACCTTTTGGTTGCAAATTAGCTGTTGTCATAAATGTAAAAGAAATAATAGTGCTGCACCCTGTTGGTAATCCTTGTAACTTTAATGCTATTGAACATCATAGAACAGGACCAACTTGTTTAATTGAAACAGCTGTTAAGATTCAATAATTCCATTTCTCATTAGGTTAACATGGGAAACTCCAGAGCCACTGGGGCGGAGCCCGAAAGGATTTTTGAAATAAGAATATGCCTATATGTTAATCGGGAATGTCAGCTATCATCATGCCAAATTTCAGCCCAATCCGACCAGTATTTTTCGCGTTCACTTGTCACAAACATACATCCATATATCCATACATCCAAACTTTCTCATTTATAATATTATAGTAGGATTGTCAGGATTGGATATCCCCATACTGTACACTATATCTTTTGTGTAAAAAACTGTTTGTTTGCTTTAGTTGATGTTATTTTCAATAATTTTTTAAAATCATTCCAGAGGTTTAAATCTGTTTAAGACAGCAAACATAATTGTTTGTGAAATACTGGTTTACTAAGGTAGCTTTGGTCTTATAGTTACTAATAAAAAAAGGCTTCAATGATTAGAATTTTGAAAATTATCTTTGTGAAATATAATTGTGTGTTGAGATAAGCTTAGTTCTTGGGTAGCCCCGGTAAATTAGCATCCTGACCCAATCATTATTAATTCTAATTGCATAGGTACTCCTTTTGTTAAGGTTTAACAAAATTAGTGTAAAGGCATCACATTGACCAAACTCATCTCCAGATTTGTTTCTGATCAACATAAAAATAGAAACTATTCTTTGTGTAAGTGTATGTAGTGGTATTCTTTCTTAAGCTGAAAAAACAAAAATATATACGTCTAATAACACTAGTAATAATATATTTACATTTTTACTGTTGACTCACTCATGTAAAATGGTAAGCGGTGATCAATTTCGACTCCAATCATCATCATAACCAAACATTCGTCTATAGGGTCTGATGATGATTGGATTGTCCAATCGAAATCGATCCCCAATTACCATCTTTTATATGTATTTTCCGTCTTGTGAGTCAACAGTATAAGTGTAAATATATTATTACTAGTGTTATTAGACATATATCTTTTTGTATTTTTTTTTTAAATTTAATAACACGTACGATGCTGATAAAGAAGTTTTTCCTCCTTAAAAAGAGATTGACTTTACCCACATTATATGTTGATAGTTGAGGCACACTATATTAAGCAAATTAAAATTGATGTAATTGTCTGAAATGGACTGTATAAACGAAAAGCACTTGCTGTAAAAAAACTAAGTTTATGGAATTGTTAAAATATGAAAAACTAAACAAACATAAATGAATGATATAGCCTAACCTTGAATTGATTGACTTTACTTTAACAAATGTGAATAAATGATAATGAACAGCCTGGACAATGTATTGCCCAAAAACTCGACTGTCACAGACGGCACGAGTTTTGAGACTGGTCAAAACAAAAGGCTTTTTACCACCACTACTTGTCAATCAAAGTAGCGGGAAAGACAAATTATTCCCTATATGGGAATAAAATGAGAAACCCCTTTGCTGCCAAAACAATATAAATCTTGATCAGCTGTACCTATTGAAGTAAACAATAATCAGCTGTAAACAGCTTTAATATTTTTCTTATGGAGATAATTTTACATTATATATCTAACTTTGTGTTGAAATTTGGAAAATTTCAGTATTTTTCCTGTTGTAACGGGATAGAGAACCTTTAATTCGAGCCCTCTCCAGTCGTTCTACGACTTCCCAGTTCCCAACAATTATGACACAAAGAGTTGCCTTACATAATTTAATAGATAGATAGATGAGAGGTTGATTAATGTATTGAATCCACATAAATCTTGAATTAGGATAAACCTACAATATTAGTTACATGTCTCACATAGTCACATAAACTAAGTGCTGTATTAATTTAAGAATGTTTGTTTGTTTTTGTATCATTTGTGAAAATTAAAAGGTACTGCTTGATGTTTGACTTTTTTTTAGGTATTGTACTTTAAATTGAGTCGTCTTTTCATTTGAGTTTTTTATTTTACAAAATTTTGTGAAAAGGTTAGTATATAGTGTTGTACTGTTTTCTTTGAATAGGTTTGATTTTGTCATTTGGTGCATTTGCGTTTGATAAACAGTCCGAATTAAACAAAAAGTCAAGATAACTTGTGTTGAATAAATGACAATGAAATAAATCATCTAATGGTACCTTTCTGTTACAAATAGACCTTGGGCTAGGTAAATAAAGTAGAGATGGAAGTTTTCTTACATTTATTGGCCTCATAATCATATCCTATTATAGAGATGAGATTAGATTTTTATCACACACAGAAGATTGTTTAGGCTGAATATAGGTTATTGTAGGCCTAAGGTGCAAGACGAGTGCTTGAACAGCTTAATTTTAAGGCATGTTTTTATCCGGTTTAAATGCAGTGAGTATTTTGTTATTAACTACTGCATCAATTTTTCCTTTCCATCCATCTTTTAAAAAACTACGGTATTTCAATTAACCGAATATGACAGATCCGGTAGGCCTGTACTCGTTGTTATAACTTTATATTATTATAATAATTTAGTTTTATTAGTTGGTAGTCCTGAGTAGTGGATAAATAGAGATGTCTCTCTGCGTAGAGATGATCTTTGTATCCTTCTTCTGAAATTTTAGTCCAAACTGGTAACATCAATTTTGTAATAACATGTTTGAATTCGAAGTATATTAAAAAGTATTAACATTGATTTGGTGTTTTATTTAATTCATTCAAAGAGGTTTAGGCAAATACAATACTTCCTAACATAGGCCTAGGCTAGGAGATTCAGTGGACATCATCACACTCAAACATAACCAACCTAAAACACACGCCACCATAACATATGCATCATATTTTACAACAGGACAAAAAATCTATTTGCACCCAAAGTCAATGATTTCGTTTTGCACATTCAAGCATAACCGGGGATAAAAAACCATGCCATATACGAAAGAAAGGCTAGTCTAGCATGAATGCAGTAACTCATTCTTAAGTCAATATCTACTGAAAAAGTGTAACGCAGATAAAAGATTTTTTGGTTGTAAATAATATTTCAAAATAACACAGTTAATGATAACTTATCTTTGAGTTCTACGAAAGAAAGGCTAGTCTAGCATGAATGCAGTAACTCATTCTTAAGTCAATATCTACTGAAAAAGTGTAACGCAGATAAAAGATTTTTTGGTTGTAAATAATATTTCAAAATAACACAGTTAATGATAACTTATCTTAAAACCATACTTTCAACGGTTTTAAAATATTGTTGGATGTAAATAAATTTCAAAATAATACTTTTAATGATAACTTATCTTTAAACCAAACTTTCAACTATTTTAAAATTATAGTTTTGTCACAAAATAGTAAGATACGTACAGAGGATACAAGCTTGTGGGATACTGTGTGCTAATAGCTCCGGTATATTGGAGCGTAAATGTACTACTGACTACAGTAAATCATTCCACTGCTGGTAGGATACTAATCCAGCAGAGCAAGGAAGAGCTCGAACGAACAGTGATGGCCTTACAGCATATTTTTGTACAGCAGTTGTAGCGCACAAAGACTCATATTGCGTGAGTGCTGTAGTAATGTTATGGCGAGGGGGGAAAGTGGAGCAAAAAGGGTACGAATAAAATTTTCTCTTGAAACCAGCAACTAATGCTAGACACAAGCAAATGGTGCTAGACACCAGCAACTGATGCTAGACATCACTTAAGCGTACCAATGCATGAATCCTCTCCTTCTTACTTCTCAATTTTGTAAAAAGTGTTTATTTTTTATACCCTATGTATATTGGTGATTGGGAGGATTTGACCCCTGGGACCTTTGGACTTTGAAGCCCTGAGTTCTACCACTAGCCCAGCTCGCTCCCAATAAAATAAACGTCTGACAGTAGAGGCTTCATACTTTGTACAGGATACCTAACAAAAAATATAGTCCATTACATGGCCTACAAGGGGCTTTCATCTACATCCCCTTCACTAGGAGCAAGTTACTGCTCCAAAGTTATGTATGAGAATGAATAAAGATAGTCAAGATAAATTACAGGCGATGCTTATAAAAATTCTTTCCTTTGGTCCAAGTGATGAAAAATAGCCTACTGTGCCTAAGATAAGATAAGGAATTCAATAAATTACTTATAATAGAACATATAACTAATTAATTACAATTAGATACTTAAAGAGACATCACAGTTTGTATCACAAGTTAATGGACTAGGATGCCATTTAACAGAAAAATGTATTTATTAGTTACCTATCTAATAATATTACAAATTAGTAAATAATCAAAAGTGCACCAAAATAAATTTATACTAGACTTGTAAATATTTCAATCACCTTATTCGATAATTAGTTTCTAAATGACTGTTTAGATCAAATCTAAAAATCATGTAGGATTGAAAAGGGAACTTATCTAGGCACTATACAAATCAGGACTAATATTCTTGAATAGCCAAAAATATCTCAAACTTATGTTTGCTAGGAAGTGGGGCAAGTTATTGCCTTTGCCTACACATAAAAATAGACATGTCGTTGCTACAATAAAACTGTAGCGACTCATTAAAATAGACATGTCGTTGCTACAATAAAACTGTAGCGACTCATTAAAATAGACATGTCGTTGCTACAATAAAACTGTAGCGACTCATTATAATAGACATGTCGTTGCTACAATAAAACTGTAGCGAGTACAAATAAGTTAGTTGAGCCACAGACAGTGTGTGCCACTGACTTTTTAAGTAAGCAAAACTGACCAAAAATTTTATGTAAACTAAGTATATTTTGTGACACATCAAATATGTATGCAATAACAAATAAGAAGGCTATAAGCTCTTTAAGTTTACTGGAACTCACTCTGTAAGTGGTTTGATGAACAGTTTCTATTTAAACGACCGAAATTGAATACAGTTTATTAACATTAACAATAAATCTGCTTCAGTATAAACAAATTGCTTATCTTATAAAATAGTACCCGGGAACAGCTTACCAATCATGATTTTGGGGCTATATGTCCCTAATTCCAAAATTTAGTAAAAATCCTTCCGCTGGATTTTGAGATAAATATTACAGACACTCAGACAAACATACTAAGGGCCCTTTCACACGAGGCCACTGGTGGCGGCCACCGGTGTCCGCGCTTTGGTTACCGGCCGGGCAACTGCAGAGGATGGTACAGGCAACTGACAAGCCACACTACATCCACTGTAAATTGGTAGTTGCAAAATTGCTACCGAACAATGAACATCTCCTACGTTTTGCGTTGATAATAAAGCAAATAAGGCGAAGACACATGCGTACTATCCCAAATTGCCGGGTACTTTTCAATTTCGCAAATGAGATCTTCAATATTCACTTTGTCTACCATTATTTTGTTTAGTCTCTTATTCTGTTCTTCTTCTTTTGTCTTCTTCTTTTTCAGTAACGTTCTCTTTATTTTTCTTCTGATCCCTCATTTTCACAAACAACAATTCAACATGGAAACACTCAACAACAACCACAGTGCGTTTGTTTCTGCAGTCTGCACGTGAACTTAACCAAAATAGTAGATGAGCGCGCATTCGCGGTGGCGGCCACTGGTGGCTTCGTGTGAACGCTCCCATTTAATTCAATGCCCCGCGACGAGTTTCCGCCACTTCGGTTGCCAGCGGTGGCCGACTAGCAGTTGCGTGAGGAGACACTGCTCGGCCACTGTGTAGTTGCGGGCAACTGCAGTGGCTGTGTGTGAAAGGTCCCATTTAACATAATGTTAAAGATGTGGCGGGCAACCAGTGGCGGCCACCAGTGGCCTCGTGTGAAAGGGCCCTTAGTTCGTATGTAAATAGAATTGAAAATTACAAAGCACAAACATACTTTAGAACTATTTTTAACTTTACACAGTTACAGTTTAAGTTGTAGCAATTCTTTCACTTTTTAATACAACAAACATATTTTAAAATTTGTTAAGAATGCTTTCACTTTTTAAAATATAACATTTGAATTGCTCTTGGAAAAGCAACTGTTTTCCTTTTTCGGAAACAACTCAGAGAAATCAAAATTTTATGGTTTAGAGGGTAAGGAGCTGTCAATATTCAGATCTTATTTTGGTAACCGCAGACAAGTTGTTGATGTAAATGGTAATCTCTCAAAAGTTTTGACTACTGTACTTATAGCATCCCCCAAGGATCTGTTTTAGGGCCAATTTTATTTACTACTAGCTGTGTGCCCGTTCTACGGAGAGGGATCTTGTAGTCAGTTGAAACCTTCTTATATTCAGAACAGCAGTTGGTTAACATTTAAGTGTGCATTTTTTTAGATATGCTGGCAAAACTATTTTAGGGATATATAAACCCTCAAAAATACAATATCTGTCCGATTCAAGCCAAAACAAATGCTAGACTCTCAAAAACCAAGAATTACCATTAAATATTCAGGGTGTCCACATTCTGGAAAGTCAGGGATAGTCATGGAAAGTCATGGAAAAAATTTTTGGTCATTGAAAGTCAGGGAAATAGGCAAGAAGTCATGGAAAGTCATGGAAATTTCCAATTATGGATGGATTTGAGGGGACCATTCAATGCTCTAGTCAGCCGTAACCCGGACTGTTATAGCATTTTTCACAAATGTTCGACAATTCAATTTATTACAGTTGTATTATTTTATGAGTTTTCGGTTTGTTTTAGTTCATTGTTGTACTTATTGTACTCCATTGTTATCTGTTATTACATATTTCAGTATTTTCTGCAAAATAACATGTCCAGGCAGTATTATTTGTGTGTGTATGTTATATTATAATTTGTGTGTAAAGTTCGTGAGTCATGGAAATCAATGGTAAATGGTCATGGATAGTCATGGAAAGTCATGGAAATTAATGACAAATCTTTTGTGGACACCCTGAATATTAAATATTATTTCTATGTGTTCAATGTAAAATGTTCTATATGTCTTAAATGTTGTCCTAAGGATTGTACATAGCCTATAGGTATTCCTGTCTTATTAATGTAATTCCTTGTGACAATGTCCATTGCGAATTTGTAATTTGCTGAACGGCTGAAAAAATGCCTTATTAGATCCTGGTTTCAAGCCATATTGGGTAAGTATTTTCAGCTTACTTTAAGGCTTGTATGTACAATTTTCAGCCTTAAACAAGACTGTGTATTGTACAAAAATATTCAATACCTAATGTAATATTGTAATGTGTAATGTTTTGAAATCATAGTGTAACCTAAATGAGCAAACAAATAGAACTACAAATTTATAAAAGATGTGTATATATATGTTTTAATAAAATATTGTCTTTTACAGGGTAGACAATAGATTAGAAGAGGAAAAAGGAACTTCAATTATTCATGTGGCAAGATCAAGAAAGATTATTTACATAATCTCTGATTGCATCAAAACTTAAAAAAGCAGCTAACAAGATTAAGTTTTTACTACCTAAACTAAAGGACAAATTTAAGTAAGTAATTCATTGTGTAAAACGAGCATAACTTTTATATGGCTGATGCAGTATTAGTTAAAAACAACATAAAACATCTAAGCCATTCTTTAAGTAGGCTAATTTAATATGATTGAACAGAAAAAAAGCAAAATGCCTTCAATTTAACACACATAAAAATATTTAAGCAAGAGATATTTAAAGTTAATTAATATACACACGTACAACTGTTAAACACTTGAAAGTCCTACAAAAATAACATATTTTAATACACATACAAAGCCAACTGACTAGTTCCTATTATTTTCTGTTAGAAGTCAAAAATTGAAACTAAAACATGTCAAATATCACCAAAAAGCCTTCCCTTGAGTGTCCAATTTGTAGACAAATGTTTTCAACTCTATCAACAATGAAGTGTCATATATATTTACACACGGGCGAGCGTCCCTTTAGATGTTTGATGTGTGAGAAAAAATTTATTCAACTACACCATGTAAAGTATCATTTGTTGACACATTCTGCTAAGTGTCCTTATAAGTGCAATACATGTGGAAAATCATTCAGATCCAAGGACAATATGAAGGCTCATACATTAAATCACACAGGAGAGCGACCTCATACGTGTAGTATATGTGGAAAATCCTTCAAAACCAGTGAGCGTATTAAGATGCATGCATTGGTTCACACGGTAGAGCGACCTTATAAGTGTAATATATGTGGAAAATCCTTCAAAACTAGGAGGATTATGAAAATTCATGAAGTGGTTCACATGGAAGAGCGGCCTTATAACTGTAGTATATGTGGAAAATCCTTTAAAACTAAGTTACATATGAAAATTCATACAGTGGTCCACACCAGAGAGCGACCTCATTCGTGTATTATATGTGGAAAAGCCTTTAAAACCAGTAACAGTATGAAGATTCATACATTACTTCACACTGAAGAGCGACCTCATAAGTGCGCTATATGTGGAAAATCCTATAAAACTAGGAAAAGTATGAAGACACATACATTACATCACACAGAAGAGCGACCTCATTTGTGTAGTATATGTGGAAAAGCTTTCAAAACCGATATCGATATGAAGATACATACATTGGTTCACTCGGGAAAGCGACCTTATAAGTGTACTATTTGTGGAAAATCCTTCAAAACTAGGAACAATATGAGAAATCATACAGTGGTTCACACGGAAGAGCGACCTTATAAGTGCACTGTATGTGGAAAATCCTTCAAAACTAGGAGCAATATGCAAAGTCATACAGTGGTTCACACGGAAGAGCAACCTCATAAGTGTACTACATGTGGAAAATCCTTTATAACCAAAACCAAAATGAAGCGTCATTCATTGATTCACATGGTAGAGCGACCTTATAAGTGTAATATATGTGGAAAATCCTTCAAAACTAGGAGGATTATGAAAATTCATAAAGTGGTTCACATGGAAGAGCGGCCTTATAACTGTAGTATATGTGGAAAATCCTTCAAAACTAGGAAGATTATGAAAATTCATACAGTGGTTCACACGGAAGAGCGACCTCATAAGTGTAGTATATGTGGAAAATCCTTCAAATTTATGAGCTCTATGAAGAAGCATACATTGGTTCACACCGGAGAGCGACCTCATAAGTGCACTATATGTGGAAAATCCTTCAAAACTAAGTTCCATATGAAAATTCATATAGTGGTTCACACCGGAGAGCGACCTCATTCGTGTATTATATGTGGAAAAGCTTTCAAAACCGATATCGATATGAAGATGCATACATTGGTTCACTCGGGAGAGCGACCTTATATGTGTACTATATGTGGAAAATCCTTCAAAACTAAGAACAATATGAGAAATCATACAGTGGTTCACACGCAAGAGCGACCTTATAAGTGCACTATATGTGGAAAATCCTTCAAAACTAGGAGCAATATGCAAAGTCATACAGTGGTTCACACGGAAGAGCGACCTCATAAGTGTACTACATGTGGAAAACTCTTCTCAAATAAATCAAATATGAAGCGACATTCATTGATTCACAACGGAGAGCGACCATAAGTGTTCTATTTTGTGGAAAATCCCTCAAATCTAAGGACAATATGAAGACTCAAACATCATAGTACGTACAGGAGAGCGACTCTATAAGTGTACTATATGTGGAAAATTGTTGCAAATTAGAAGCATTATGAAGAAACATACATTAATACACTACGGATAGCGACCTTAAGTATAAACTATATAGGAAATCCTATAAAAGTAACAAAACATGAAGCAACATACACCAGAGAGTTGCCTCAGTGGAAAATCCCTCACTGCCTACAGGAAAATAAAGAAACATACATTAGTTAGTTCACTCCGGAGAGCAACCTTATAGGTGTTACTATGTGCAGAAGGCACTTTGCATGCCAAAGCTATATAAACAAACATTCTTTGGTTCATATTAGAGAGTGATCCAAAAGTGGAGAGCATGCGGAAAATCCTTCTAAACCATCTTCCCATATATGGAAAAACTTTGGGTGCAATATGTTTAATTAATCACGAATCATTGCTCAGAAAATCCAGAAGATCCAGAAAACCCATTAATGTTAAAATTTAGTCACTTTTTCTATTTTATTTACATTTTCATAAATATTATTTTATTTTATTGTGCTAATTTGTCCCTACTCTTAGTATCAAGACTGGCTTTTACAGAATTTCAGTAACACTCATTATCTGTACAGGTTATAAAAACGTATGTAGTGTTGATTTATCAAATGTTTGTACTGTATTATATTTCCAATGAAAACTAGGGGCTTGTTCCCTTGTAGGGATATAAGTCCCTAAAAAGCTCAAATTTAATACAAATTATTGTATTATAAACTCATAATCAAATTATAGATATAATTTGATTATGAGTTATCTAATTGTCAGGATTGGATATCCCCATACTGTACACTATATCGTTTGTGTAAAAAACTGTTTGTTTACTTTAGTTGATGTTATTTTCAATAAATTTTTTGAATCATTCCAGATGTTTAAATCTGTTTAAGACAGCAAACATAATTGTTTGTGAAATACTGGTTTACTAAGGTAGCTTTGGTCTTGTAGTTACTAATAAAAAAGGCTTCAGTGATTAGAATTTTGAAAATTATCTTTGTGAAATATAATTGTGTGTTGAGATAGGCCTAAGCTTAGTTCTTGGGTAGCCCCGGTAAATTAGCATCCTGACCCAATCATTATTAATTCTAATTGCATACTCCTTTTGTAAAGGTTTAACAAAATTAGTGTAAAGGCATCACATTGACCAAACTCATCTCCAGATTTGTTTCTGATCAACATAAAAATAGAAACTACTCTTTGTGTAAGTGTATGTAGTGGTATTCTTCCTTAAGCTGAAAAAACAAAAATATATACGTCTAATAACACTAGTAATAGTATATTTACACTTTTACTGTTGACTCACTCATGTAAAATGGTAAGCGGTGATCAATTTCGACTCCAATCATCATCATAACCAAACATTCGTCTATAGGGTCTGATGATGATTGGATTGTCCAATCAAAATCGATCCCCAATTACCATCTTTCATATGTATTTTCCGTCTTGTGAGTCAACAGTATAAGTGTAAATATAGTATTACTAGTGTTATTAGACGTATATCTTTTTGTATTTTTTTTTTTTTTCAATTTAATAACAGTACGATGCTGATAAAGAAGTTTTTCCTCCTTAAAAAGAGATCGACTTTACCCACATTATATGTTGATAGTTGAGGCACACTATATTAAGCAAATTAAAATTGATGTAATTGTTTGAAATGGACTGTATAAACGAAAAGCACTTGCTGTAAAAAAACTAAGTTTATGGAATTGTCAAAATATGAAAAACTAAACAAACATAAATGAATGATATAGCCTAACCTTGAATTGATTGACTTTACTTTAACAAATGTAAATAAATGATAATGAACAGCCTGGACAATGTATTGCCCAAAAACTCTACTGTCACGGACGGCACGAGTTTTGAGACTGGTCAAAACAAAAGGCTTTTTACCCCCACTACTTGTCAATCAAAGTAGCGGGAAAGACAAATTATTCCCTATATGGGAATAAAATGAGAAACCCCTTTGCCTTTGCCACCTAAACAATACAAATCTTGATCAGCTGTATTGAAGTAAACAAAAATCAGCTGTATTGATATAAACAATAATCAGCTGTAAACGGCTTTAATATTTTTCTTATGGAGATAATTTTACATTATATATCTAATTTTGTGTTGAAATTTAGAAAACTTCAGTATTTTTCCCGTCGTAACGGGATAGAGAACCTTTAATTCGAGCCCTCTCCAGTCGTTCTATGACTTCCCAGTTCCCAACAATTATGACACAAAGAATCGCCTTACATAATTAAATAGATAGATTGATAGATAGATGAGAAGTTGATTAACGTATTGAATCCACATAAATCTTGAATTAGAATAAACCTACAATATTAGTTACATGTCTCACATAGTCACATAAACTAACTGATGTATTAATTTAAGAATGTTTGTTCGTTTTTGTATCATTTGTGAAAATTAAAAGGTACTGCTTGATGTTTGACTTTTTTAGGTATTGTACCGAGTACTTTAAATTGAGTGTCAACAATTGAGTTGTCTTTTCATTTGAGTTTTTTATTTTACTAAATGTTGTGAAAAGGTTGGTATATAGTGTTGTACTCTTATTTTGAATAGGTTTGATTTTGTCATTTAGTGCATTTGCGTTTGATAAACAGTCCGAATTAAACAAAAAGTCAAGATAACTTGTGTTGAATAAATGACAATGAAATAAATCATCTAATGGTACCTTTCTGTTACAAATAGACCTTGGGCTAGGTAAATAAAGTAGAGATGGAAGTTTTCTTACATTTATTGGCCTCATAATCATATCCTATTATAGAGATGAGATTAGATTTTTATCACACACTGAAGATTGTATAGGCTGAATATAGGTTATTGTAGGCCTAAGGTGCAAGATGAGTGCTTGAACAGCTTAATTTTAAGGCATGTTTTTATCCGGTTTGAATGCAGTGAGTATTTTGTTATTAACTACTGCATCAATTTTTCTTTTCCATCCATCTTAAAAACTACGGTATTTCAATTAACCGAATATGACAGATCCGGTAGGCCTGTACTCGTTGTTATAACTTTATATTATTATAATAATTTAGTTTTATCAGTTGATAGTCCTGAGTAGTGGATAAATAGAGATGTCTCTCTGCGTAGAGATTATCCTTGGACCCTTCTTCTGAAACTTTATTCCAAACTGGTAACATCAATTTTGTAATAACATTTTTGAATTCGAAGTATATTAAAAAGTATTAACATTGAATTGGTGTTTTATTTATAGTACAGTGCAATTAGCTTAAAACAAGAGCAAACCGGGACATCCAAAAAACAAGTTTCAAACCAGTGCCAAATTGTTGAATACACTTCCCTCAATATGTAAAAAAAAGTTACACTGATTTGAGTGTCGGGTTTGGGGGGGAGGGGTGAAAATGGGGTGAAAATAGGACTTTTTTTTACTTTTTCGCAAATACCTCAAAAACCATGCGTTTTTCTTAAAATATAATGAATTACAAAAATAATATACATTAAATTTCGAACAAAATGATACCATACAATACGTATCTACTATGAACGGTTCAGGTAATATTGAGGGGTAAATGTGATTTTGTTCTTAAAATTCTAAAAAAGTTGTTTTTTAAATGGAGGAAACCCATGGACACCTATAAAAAAAGTTTCTAATGAGTGCCAAATTGTTCAATTAACCTCCCTTAATATGTATAAAAAAGTTACACGGATTTTAGTGTCGGATTTGGGAAGGAGGGTTAAAAGAAAAGGGGGGGGGAATGGGACTTTTTTTGCTATTTTCCAAATATCTCGAAAATGGAGCGTTTTTCTTAAAATATAATGAACTACAAAAATAATCTATATTAAATTTCAAACAAGATGATGCCATACAATACCTATCTACCATGAACGTGTTAGGAGATATTGAGGGGTAAATGTGATTTTTTTTAAATTCTAAAAGGTTGTTTTTTAAATGCAGGAAAACCATAGATACCCATAAAAAAGTTTTTGTTCTTTGCATTTTCTCTATTAACTTACTCGTTTATGAGTTACAGGATGCGGAATGTACACAACAAGCCTTTTTCCATGCTGTAACTCCTAAACGAGTACCTTTTAAGAGAAAAGGTCAAAATTAAAAATGTTTTTAAATTAGATTTATATACTAAAACAATCATAAACTACAGGGTGTTCCATAAGAAATAGGTAACAAAGTTGTCGGCCATATTGGAAAATGGTGGACATATTTTTAAAATTGGGAACCATTCCAAATCATCTAAAAAAATAAAGGGGAGTGTCCCATAAGAAGTCAACTAACTGTATAACCCATGATAAAAAAGTTAGCTATTGGTTCACTTTAGGTGAGACATCTTGTATACAGGGAAACCTGTAAGTAAACAGCCAAACCCCAGGAAATGGTTCTATGGGTGAAAATAAAAAGAAAATCAAGAGTATTTTTTTCCAAAATCGCTTCGTTAACCAGATATTTGCCATTTTGTTTTTTTCACAAAAACATTATTTCATCTCTGAATTTTTTAACCGATCATTAACAAACTTGGTATGTATGTTGAGGTAAAATAGACCCACGTTAGAAAAAAATTATCTTAATCCAATAAAAATTTTAAAATGGCGGCCATTTAATTTTTTTTAATTGAAATTGCTAGAAATGGCTAATTTTATGAAAAAATGTCTGTACTGTAACACTTTTATTTAGCTTTTAAAATAATAAAAAAAAAATAAATATTACGATTTTTATTTGTAAAATGAGGCAACCCTGAATAGCGTAGCCTTAATCACAATAATTTTACAACTAAAAATTGTTGTAACTTCAGTTATTTTTTATTCCATCTTCTTAGGAATTCAAACGGTAGAAAGTTCACCGTGTTCCCGTATCTAGGTAGGTTTGTCTTTTTTAGGTAGGTAAGTCATATTTATTTATATTGTAGTTATATTTGTGATAAAATGGAAAATAAAAAGTGTTACTTAACAAAATTTTCAAAATTACTTATGAATAAAATTCCCAACCCTGTTTTCACACCCTCCTACCCAAGACCGGCACGAAAATCAGTGTAACTTTTTTACACATATTAAGGGAGGGTTATTAAACAATTTGGCACTTGTTAGAAACTTTTTTTATGGGTGTCCATGGGTTTCCTCCATTTAAAAAACAACTTTTTTTAGAATTTTAAGAAAAAAATCACATTTACCCATCAATATTACCTGAACCGTTCATAGTAGATAGGTATTGTATGGTATCATTTTGTTCGAAATTTAATCTATATTATTTTTGTAATTCATTATATTCTAAGAAAAACGCACCGTTTTTGAGGTATTTGCGAAAAAGTAAAAAAAGTCCTATTTTCACCCCATTTTCACCCCCTCCCCCCCCTAACCCGACACTCAAATCAGTGTAACTTTTTTTTACATATTAAGGGAGGTTTATTGAACAATTTGGCACTCATTAGAAACTTTTTTTTATGGGTGTCCATGGGTTTCCTCCGTTTAAAAAACAACTTTTTTAGAATTTTAAGAAAAAAATCACATTTACCCCTCAATATTACCTGAACCGTTCATAGTAGATAGGTATTGTATGGTATCATTTTGTTCGAAATTTAATGTAGATTATTTTTGTAATTCATTATATTCTTAGAAAAACGCACCGTTTTTGAGGTATTTGCGAAAAAGTAAAAAAAGTCCTATTTTCACCCCCTCGCCCCCCAAACCCGACACTCAAATCAGTGTAACTTTTTTTTACATATTGAGGGAAGTGTACTCAACAATTTGGCACTGGTTTGAAACTTTTTTTTTGGATGTCCCGGTTTAGGTCTAATTGCACCGTACTATTAATCCAAAGAGGTTTAGGCATATACAATACTTCCTAACATAGGCCTAGGCTAGGAGATTCAGTGGACATCATCACACTCAAACATAACCAACCTAAAACACACGCCACCATAACATATGCATCATATTTTACAACAGGACAAAAATCTATTTGCACTCAAAGTCAATGATTTAGTTTTGCACATTCAAGCATAACCAGGGATAAAAAACCATGCCATAACTGGCTTTGAGTTTTACGAAAGAAAGGCTAGTCTAGCATGGATGCAGTAACTCATTCTTAAGTCAATATCTACTGAAAAAGTGTAACACGGTTAAAAGATTTTTTGGTTGTAAATAATATTTCAAAATAACATAGTTAATGATAACTTATCTTAAAACCAAACTTTCAGTGGTTTTAAAATTATATTTTTGTCACAGAATAGTAAGATACGTAGAGAGGATACAAGCTTGTGGGATACATGCTAAAGAAGAGCGAAAGGGTACGAATAAAATTTTCTCTTGACACGAGCAACTAATGCTAGACACAAGCAAATGGTGCTAGACACCAGCAACTGATGCTAGACACCACTTAAGCGTACCAATGCATGTATCCTCTCCTTCTTTAATATGCGTTTATTTATTTTTTATATATTTTTATATTGGTGATTGGGAGGATTT